CCGCTCGCAAGCCGTGGAGTGTACTTTGTGTGTCTTTGGGGCTTTGCGGGGCAGTCGTGCCTTTGAGAGGACTTCGCATTTGACTGGGACGCCTGCCCGAGGCCCTGTGTTCTCTCTCAGGTGGCCCCTCCCACCCGCAGATCCCTGCTGGTGGGCGTGAGTGTTGTCCCTGTAGTGTCGGCCTAGCGCTGCAAAGTTCTTTTGCTTCTGGTGTCTGTCAGGGTCTCTGAATGATATTCCTCTGCCATGTGATAACGTGGCCCGTTTGGGAAGCTGCTTGTTCCCAGCTGCCTCACTCCTGTCCCCCAGCACAGGGAGATGGACTGTTGGGCTCAGTCACGGAGTGGGGTAGTGAGCTGTCCCTGGCCGCCCAGAAGTCTCTCACCCCCAGCGACATGCCGACGAGGACCCGCGTCGGTGTGAAGCTCATCACAGGCTGTAGATGGGTCTCTGGGTTGAACGCGCCTTGCGGACTTGGCGGTCCCATGTGGGGGTGGGGCCAGACGGCCTGGGGAGTGCTGGGTCACACAGTGTCTTCATTCAGGGTTTCTGGGTGCTCAGGGCCCCTTGTCCACTGGGAATCTGCCGGTGAGAGAGAGGCTTCAGCGCGTTCCGAAAGTGAGGTGACCAAGACCTGGTCACTTCTTTCAGCCGAAGGCCACCCACAGGGTCAGGGACACACTCCCGAGAGTCCCTGCGCTCTGGCAGTGGGTTCATCCTCGCCCCCAGAGCGCCCTGCTTCCTCCTGAAGGTGTGTCTGTGCCAGGCTCACCCCTCGGAGTTCTGAGACCCGCCGGGCGCATGCACAGAGGGTGCCCACCGAGCTGGCTCTGGCTGCGCAGGGTGGGGGGGCCTCCGGCCTCCCGCAGCTCTGCGCCCAGAAGCTGGGACGTACCTTACGGTGTCTTCAGTGTCCGACTGTTGCTTTGTTTCTGGAATGATGAGAGAAGGTGGCTTATGGGGGAGAGATGGCCTGTGAGCCTGGCTCCCTGCCCACCGCAGGCGGCCCCACCTGTCCCTCAGCTCAGTGACAGGCAGAGGTTGGCATTTCATCTGTGCGCCTGCCTGGCTTGGGCGGGTGTTGTGCATCCCCGGGAAAGCCCAGCGGGAGGAGTCGGGAGAGTGAAGGAAGGGAAG